ATATATATATATATATATATACAAAAACTTCCAAGACAATCCAAGACAGTTTTGATGACAGTTGCACAGAACTACTTACGTTCTCGAGAGCTTAAAACGCCAGGCACTCGATCTGCAATCTGATACCTCGCACCTAGAGATCCCACATTTTCAAGGGTGCGTATCGGGTTCCCAAGGTGTGCGCACGCGAATCCCGTTTCGCATTGCGCGTCCTCAGATTAGCATCGCATTATCGGGAAACGTTCTCGCGAGAGGCGTCGCGAATGGAGAGCGCGAACGGATCCGTTTCACGTAAGCCGAATTCATGAGGCCCAGATTTTGCCGCTATGGCCCTGGGTGATGGCGGCGCATTTTCTTTACTTGCCGAAAGAACGTGCTCGATCTCGTCACGGCCGGGGTTTACCCGCCGTCTTTTCCTCGGTCTCGACCACGATTTTCGGGGCCTATATCCGCACCTCTTCAGGCACAAGTGTGCCGAGGGCGACCCGAGACGCACCACGCAGGATAGTCGTCGAGAGACTTCTCATCCTCTCGCCGTCACCCTTCGTATTGCGAGACAGACGAGAAAAGGCAGGACAGAGAAACAGGAGAGAAAGTAGACGAGAGATCAGGTATCAAGTGTAAAAAAAGATCATTGTACGGAAGCATCTGACCGTAGGGTAGGAACTACAGTGATGGTGCGAAAGGATAGAGTGAGATGGAAAGAGGAATGTGTACTTTTTTTTAGAGGGAAAAGGGTTAAGAAGAGACAGAGATAGAAAGAAAAAGAGAGAAAGAAAGAGAGCAGAAACGTGAGGGAACGATCCTTCGTGATGGAAAAGACGAAGAGACGATCGGAAGAGGATGAAAGGGAGGAAGGGGGAAACCAAAAGCGTTGGCAGTTTATAAGGGTCCCCGGTATTGTGGATACGTATTATCATGCTAAATATAACATGTTAACTACTTCGCATAATACCGCGATCCTCTCGATTCTTCTCCCGTACGGTCGATCGGCGAATCGCGCTTCTTCGCGCGCGCGTCGCGCATCGAAAATTTTATTGCCGAATTCGGCAGATGCAGCGTGCGACGCGCAGCGGAAGTGTAGCGCCGGTTTTCCTCGCTGATTTTATCTGTCGACAGGGCACAGAGAAAGGAGAAAGAAAGTATGACCCGTCTCTTATGTTTCTTTGAAGATGCCAATTCAATTATCATTTCAATGAATACGTAGGATTTATATAACATTAGTTATTCCTAATTATAAAGATAAAAACTACTACAATACTCATATTATATTAAATAAAGCGATATCTTATTAATCTTATTAATAAAATTGATTAATATATTTAATTTTTTTACATTTGTATTGATTATTTAAGGATCTTATCTTTTCAAATCTCACTGTAAATTCGGTGCATACATCTATTAATTTTTTAATAAGATTAAAAAATAATGAAAACATGTATCTTTCTACTTATGTATTGTGATTAATTTTATATTTAATATTTGAGACTTTGTAGAAGATTTTTGTCATCATTGAAATTTTGAAGAAGTTTCCATTCCGTTAGATATAAAAAAAAATGTATAAAAAAAAATGTAATCCTTCTTCACTCGTCGTGGTATTTGTGAATGCGAAAAATTCAATCTTTTTCGTTGAGCGGCCGATGTCAAAAATGCTCAGATGGTTCAGATGGCGGACCCCATAAAAAAAGCAAACGGAAGCAACGCGAATGAGCCTGTATTATATCGATCTCGATGTACATAGCGTGAATTCGTCACGCGTTTTTAAGGCGCGATGCGGATCGATGCCGATGTCGGTGATCAGTAAAAGGAGCTATAACTTAAGGTCAATTTTTCACGGACTGTTGAAGGGGTGTGATGGGCCAGAAGTTGCTGGTGCAAGAGGCGCCTGGCTCTGGTTCCGCCTCGACGAATCGCATGGAAGGCGGTGAAGGTGCCGGAGGAGGGGAGCTACACCACTTCCTCCAATACAACCAGCAATCTCACAGTCCTAGCCAGAGCCTGCAGGGTGGCCTTCCACTTCCGCTGAGCCCACAACCCTTGCGACACGACGGTGCCTCGAACGCCGGCATCGTCGGGGTCAAGAGGGAACCAGAAGATCTCAGCTCGTCACGCGGAGGCCAACAACCCAGCAAACGACACAAACAGGCGCAACCCGACAGTCCCACACCACCAGGAATGTACCATCATCATCCGCATCAGTTGCAGGTAAATTTCAGACGATCATTGTCAAATATAATCACGAGTTCTCCTCTGCGAGAGTTCGCGATTATTTATTTGATTTACACCGAACTTTCAAAAGTTCGACGCTTTTCGTACAATATGTGATATGTTTGAATATTAATTTAATGATCCATTCCTACAAGAATTCTCAATTCTTCGCGTTGAAAGTTATTCCCATAATCATATGCGGTGAGAATAGAATTTGTAATCAATTTTCAAATAACTTCAAATTATGTGATTTATTTTTCGTAAAATTGCTAAAGATTGCTAAAGATTTCCAACTTCTACGATCCTCGCCGAAACGTCACGTCGTGTCACGTATAGCCTAATATGCAACATTTGCACATCGTAGGATAATATTTGAGAAAATAACATCGCTCAAATTCTTCTAACATCGCTTCTCGCGTATTTCGAAAATTGCACAATTGCAGCGTATCTCGCGAGTTCCATCATCGCGCCGTCTTTTTTCCCATAAAAAGATGTGTAAATGCGACAGTGGAAACGCGGAGAACCGCGATCTTCTCGAGGTGCGCCAATCGCGGCGAATTGTGCGAACGTGGTAGAAAGTCAATCGCAATTGACGGGTGTACAGGTGCAGCAGTACGGCAGCCCTTACGACCCCTACACGTCGTGCAGTCCTAGGTTGCAGTCAACTGCCTATACGTCTACGTCAGCGACCGGGACGGGAAACACAACGGCGAATCCGGGTGGCGGCCTTCATCAGGAGGCGACGACAGTCTACGTCGCCGGTGACGCATTGCCGCCACTCGCCTCGTCAAGCTCCACTTCCTCGCTGTCCACCACGACTGCTTCGTACACGAGGTACGAGGTCGTGCCAAGCTCATACGCTACGACACACGCGATACGCTCGTCGTCGAGTAGCAGCAAAGTCCTAACCGTTGATCTTCCCAGCCCTGACTCTGGCATAGGCGCCGACGCGGTGACGCCCAGACAGGATCATCATCCAACCACGGCCCTTCATCAGGTGAGTCTACGAGCGAGATTAATTTCATTCCTCTTGTTATTCGATACATTTCTACGTGATGCATCTAGCTTTAGCTTCTAGATAATTTTTCAAATCTTACAGCTTTTCTTTGAATAATTTTTTTGTAATTTATTATTTTATCGTATTACTTCAAAATATTGATATTGTTTCAACATTACTATAATGGCGGTCTTATTAAAGAAATTAAAAGCAAGATTCTCTTATACATCGTTAGCGTATGTTTTTAAGTACAGGTAGGCGTGGATGCGTTTACGAGCTATGTTGTTAACGATCGAATTGAATAAAGATCTCTCGTTTTTTTGACTCGATAAAGTCACTAAAGTCAGATGATAATATAAGTCCAGGATGAAAATTACCATGATCAAACAAGTATGAATTGGACAAGAAATTCGACGGAAAAAATTTGCTGACATCTCATAGCAACTGACATAAAGTTCGGAATACTAAGAAGAATGTAGAGAGCTGAAAAGCTTTCAAAATGGAATAAAACGATCCTTGCGTGTAACATATTGCTTTGCCACGTAATATATTAACACTGCCCTGGCGCAAGATGATGACACGGAGTTAGCCGACAGGGACGATTGTAAATGGCTCACGTCTATATAAATTGCAATCAGCAGGCGATATAACCAAGAGCAAGTCCTGATCGGAGCGGGATCCTGCGGCTGTCTCGTCAATGAAGATCGAAGTTAACGGGTTGCAGGGGGGATACATGAAAAAATATTTACTACTTGGAGGTGCTCGCTACTGAATTACGCGGATGGCGTGTCGGCATTAATTTTCGGGAAAAATGCTCTAGAACGTTTGGCCGAGACAGAATCGCTGTGCCCCGAGACGCGGAATAACCGTAACTCAATCTGGAGAGCTGCCATACGGAGGCAACGATGGGAAACGGCATCATCTGCTGCAGCCGCTCCCGCGCTATCATTTTCAATTCGATCAACCACGGTACAAATGTCTTCGCCCACGGCGCCATAAGCGATCGCGATGCAATTAATCTCGCGGCGTGATACCGTAAATATCGTTCGTTAACGCTCGGCCGGCTCGTCCCAGCAAAACCTTCAGTACATTAATATATGCGGATATTAACCGTTATCCTATTGCGAGCATATTCGCACGCGGATATGCGTGTCGGTATTGCTGCGTTATGGTATCGTTTTCAATGCGATTTGTCAAGTAAGTGTGGGCTTTCGCCCATAACGATGCCTCACCCGCGAGAGAGAGCCGGACTCCGCGATTAATTCCTTGTGTCTCCTGCAATGCAAGCCGGGCACGGTATTACGCGTAAAATGCTCTAAATACAGATCGAATGCGTATGCACGATCGCCGTTCTCGAAGCAATTTGTCAGGCAAGTTTTTCCATCTTAACGTCATAGTTATTTATGCCGACGCAATAAATTCGGAGACGCTAATTCTACGCTAATATTATGTCGCGTATAATACACTAAAGGAGCAATTATGGTATCTTAGATTACGGTAAATCGCAAAACTCAGCCATATCGAAAAAGCAAACCTGTTCCTCCGGTTCTTAAAACTTAGTATTTGCAAAGATTTTTCGTAATAGACATGTTTTGCTAAAGCAACCCTCTTATCAGCCCCTCATTCAATAAATAATCGTAATAGTCGCAAAGTCCATTATGGTAAGATGTGTATTTAATACTAGAATTTTATTATATAATCGGACGGCACATACACACGCGCGCGCACGCACGCACGCGCGCACGCGCGCACACACACACACACACACACACACACACACACACAAATTTTTCTCAAGGAAATAACATTAATTTCAATAAACTGTAATCATATCGCGTTTTCACGAAAAAAGAGGCTTTGGAAGTCTCTCTGAACTTATCAGTTCTATGTCAGGCGTATTTAACTCTTTCTATACGAATCTCGTTCAATTAAATGATAATATAATTACTTGTATCATTTCGTTTATATCGGCAATTCTTGACACAGGCAATTCGTCATGTATTGTTGCATATATCTCGTCCACTTCCGGAAGCATTAATCGTGTCGCGCGCGTTACACGCGAGAGTAAGTCATTAGCATTGCAGTCGACATTACGAATTAGAAAGCACGCGTTCGTTCTGCTCCGCTTGTGCACGCGGCAGACGTTGAAATAAAACCCGAAGCCCCGGGTCGGGCGGATTAGGTATCGGATGTAAGTGCTACTGAAAACCGATCCGCTCGCCTGATCGGCTTGTGTTATGCACGCAATTAAAACGTTGATATTCAAAGTGGGTAAAGCATTAAATTTTACCATCCGCGCGCCGTTTTATCTCGCGACTAATACGCCTTCTACCGACAATTTTCTTAATATTTGAGAAGTGCTGCTCTGAATCGCACCGAGATAATGTAACACGATTAATTATGACCACATGACAAATGATACGTCTATCTGATGAATTCGATATCTTGCCAACAAAAAAGGATCTCGTTTAATTAATTTCCGGTTTCGTAAATTTCCGGTACATGTAAAGTGACATCTTGTTTTAGAATGGTTTTAATATCATGCAAATTGCATGTATTATATTTTAATCGGACCCATGGATTTTTAGCTGGTTGATACTTGACTTATAAAATTAAGCCTGTTTAGATATTAAATATTTATGCGCTTTCTCATCCAGGACAGTCATCAAGATCGTCTTAAGTTTTGTTTTGTTACGATGTCCAATCAGCCGTATTAGCGTCTTAAGATATTACTTAAGACGATCTTGAAATAAGAACCGATTATGAATACCAGCCTAGATAGATAAATCATTGGTAAATTGCGCATGTCGTGCATGAAATTTGCTTAATCACACAATATTATAAAAATGATCTATTAAATTCTTGTATGCATGTGTATTATCATAAATTAATTAATTTAACACAGGGAAAATGATTTTACTGAAAGATTTAAAAATTTGCCGAATACAGAAAATAATTTTGTTGGACCATTAAAATAATTATATAGAAAAATGAAGAGCTATACTACAAAAAGTTTTGATATTCTAACAATCAATTTGAGTTTCTAACAAAATTGTTTTAGTAGTCTAATAAAATTATTTTCTGATGTTTCCAAAAAAATTTTAGATCTGTCAGCAAAATCATTCTTTCCGTGAAAAATTCAAATTTTTATCACATAATAAAAAAATCTAAGAATTTTAACATGTTGTATTTTAAGTGTTAATCACGAAAACGTTGAATGTTAATTAAAATTTTCAATTTTGAAAAATATATTTTATATTTATAATTCATATTTGAAAAATATATGCGATAAAATTTTTGTTAACGAAACGTCTTAAAACTATGCTGAAAGAAAATATGCAACTTTCATGCTTATTGCATCTCATGCATTTAATACATAAAGCATTTGAAAAATTCTAAAACGACGAATAGCTTTGTGTGCGGTAGATTCAGTGGTTAGAGAATTTAGCAAGAAAGAAGCTGCCGTGATTTTTTTTTGGGATGACAGAGAGTTGAGGTAACGAGCTGCGGTAACCGCGTTGCATTGAAAAATAACTGCAGGCGACGCGCAATCGCATGAAGACGTATGAGGGAATAGGTCGTTTGGCAAGCCGCTTATTAACAGCTACGGTTGGAAGCGGGTGTGCGGATTGTGCGGTTGATTTTACGAGACCACAAAGCTCCTCTATTCTTTCTTCGTTCGCGCTGCCTTCAGCAGCGATATACACGCAATGCGCAACGGAGTGCACGATCGAAAATGCATGAAAAAGCGCATATTAATGATAAATGGAAAACTACTGTTTTTTTCGCTACAATCCATTTGCGTCTATATATCGAAATTTGTTTACGGCGTAACCAATGAGAAAAAGAGAGACCCAAGACGAACGCATCGGGACAGTCACGTGAAATCGCGTGTTTGTAAACGGTTAATCATTTATCGGTTCAATGATCCCTTTAATCGGCGCAGTTTGAAATTTATCGAGGGATACTTGCGAGAGATACGGAAAAATCTAATGAAATGCATTGATATGCAAAAATAAGTCGCGAATGTAGATATTGAATCGCGATAATGCTGATATACGAAACGAATGACGTCGATAAATAATTACGTTCTTATTAAATTTTTAATTACTAATTACATCGTAATCAGGGAGCATTTAAATTGAGATTTAGTATACTCGTGCATGCGAACGCGTTTTATCTATGTTTACCAGAACATGATCGGAAAAAATTGCACTCTATCATTATTTTTACATGCTGTATCTCTTCTACATATATCAATGTTACTATACTATATCATTACATTCCATCTATTTTTTCTTTTACAAGGAATTAAAAATAAATTATTAGTTTTTGTCACGAGAAAGACGATAAAGCATTTGTTATCATTTATTACTTAAATCATGACTTCAATGTAATTATATTTTTCAATATTTTTATATATATAAAATTACATATATATATATATATAATTTATGACAGATTTTCGAATTAAACAAGATTAAAACAGAATTAAAAAATTCAGAATGCTTAAATGGAAATTAATAATTTAAATTGATTAAATGGATTTCTATGTTTTACGTGTTGACCAATACGGTTCTTATTTTTTAATAAATTTTTAATAAATTATACTTTTTTTCTAGTCCTCATTCGACTATACAGAATTATGTCCTGGCGGAACAACAGCCGGAACAGCGGTAGTTCTCGAAAGTGGAGCGGTGATACACCAACCCCTGCAATTACAGCTGCAGCAGAGCCATGCACAAGCACAGGTGCAACGCAGCAGCTTAGTGTCCACTGGTGCGACAAATCCGAATCCAAATCCAAATCCGCAAAGATCGCGGCCTTGGCACGATTTCGGTAGACAGAACGACGCCGATAAGATCCAGATACCGAAAATGTACGTAGAAAGCTCTGAAAGCTACAATTTATGAAAAAAATCGATGATCGCAAAATATATATGTAATTCTTGCAGTGCTCTTTTCTAGCAATCTATTTAAAAATATTTAATACGATTTAATATTTAGGATAAGCATTGATCTCTTTGGATTATATGAGAAACTTAAGAAGCATCTTATTTTAACAGCTTCGTTTTGATTAAAACTAGCTGTGCTTATTAGATTAAGAGCAAAGAAAACTTAATAGAATTACTTCTTGATATGATTTGTCTGATTAGGGATTGCACGATAGTATAGGAATTTATAATAAATATGCGTTATAATAATGATGTGTAAAGGCGAATGCTCAATTTGCTCGATCGAATGGATAGATAAATAAGTAGACGGATATTGAGATTGATATATAGATATTTATCTATCAATTTATCTTATTACATAGAGGGTACGGAAGAGCAACGATAAAAGTTAATAACTTGCGCTGCTCAGCGCAAGCAATTGCGAATTCACACGGAAAAATTTTATTAAAGTATTCGTATCTAAAAGTTTAGGTAAATATAGATACTGCAAATAATTTTATTTGACCATCAAAAGAATTATAACTCAGTGATGGGCAGTGTTATAAAAACATTCTAGTAACCAGTTAAGCGTCTTACATAATTTTCAGATCTATATCTAGCTAAACTTTTAAACATTTCAGCAAAACTGTTTTTTCCGTGCACGCAATAAAGAAAATACCTCAATTGCAGATGAACGAACACATTTATTCATTCTTAATATAAATGTTTGCAAGAAAATATTAATATATACAAATGAAATATTATTATATAGCATTTAAATTAATAATTTAATTGATATAACTTCTTCTCACGTATTATACGCGCATCGGTTCAACTAATGACAAAGATGGAGTTTGAAATATATATGCATAGTTGTGTAATATTTTCGTTTATACGCTAAGGCTTAATTTAACAAAAGGCTTTATTTCCTTTATGACTGAGAATTAATGGCACCTCTTTAAAAACAAAGTCATAAATGTCATTTCTGTTTCACGGGAAACTAATATCTTCACTAACCGCCTGCTAGAAGAACTTTCTATGCCTCTTTGCGCACCCTTCATTTCCTTCGGGTTCACATCCGCTTGCCAACTCATTTGCTCTTCTTCTCCCATATCCATCCTTCCTAGCGATCTTTCTACTTCCCGTTTCGCTCCATCCGTCTTTTGTAATTTGTTGCCTTCCATTGTTAGAGCCGACCGCGTACGATCAGCGCTGCTGAATATTTCTTGCTCCATCTCTCTGAATATACTCACCGACGCGAGATGAACAATGATGTTAAAGTTATTAAGTCGCAGCCAACTCCGAAGTCGACTCTGAAAGAGTCGGACAAGCGCCTCGGGGTCGCGCCCGGTCCGGGTCTGAAAAATCGCAGAGTTCGCCGACCATTCGCAGCGTGAAATCGAAATGTCAAGAGGGGTAGCCTCTCTCTTTTCGACCGACTTCTTTTTCGCGAGACAGAAACGAGAAAGTCAGACGGACAGATGAGAGAGAGAGAGAGAGAGAGAGAGAGAGAGAGAGAGAGAGAGAGAGAGAGACTGTAGTCATGCGTAACCCACACAGGGAGTTGTAACAAGGTATACACATCGGGTAGGAGGCTGTGCAACGGTAGCGAGCAGCAAAAGCACAGAGGAGGGCGTTCACCCGCCACGATCAGTTATCGCCTCGCTCGCTACGCACACTGCCCTCTGATTCGTCCTCTCGGTTCCACAATGAAAAAGAAAGAGAGAAGAACAGAAAGACAAAAGGAAAAAAAAAGAGGACGGAAGAACTACGCCACGAATACGAATGTGTGTGCGCCTCAAAGACAATAAGGCACTCTCTCGCGAGGATATACGATAATAATATATTCAGAAAGTTCGCCGAGGCAACGAATGGTAAAATCGATGGAGATCGATATCGATAAATCGAGTTCAAGACGAGAAGTGGTAGATTATAGATTTTCCTCGATCGCGACGGTCGGATCGTTTTGCTCTCGTTTTTTCATCTCCGCGTCCACCTTCCTTCGATCGTGCGCGTCGTTTTGTCGTCTCGCATTTTATATTGCGGTCTCTACCCTCAATCTCTCGGGTTATGGGCGTTCATTTTTCATAAGTTATCGGTCGCCCGCCTACCTGCATGCTTTAGTCGCGGCCGGTACGGAGATAAGCTCGATTAGAAGTCGCGATTTTCTTCCCCTCCCCCCTCCCCGGCAAGGTTGATGCGTGTCTGTCGATGTCGTTCTTTTTCCAATTCGCGCGAACTCTGGCGTTGCCAGCTTCCCAGGCTCCCGAGGCCCTTCATTATCGTTTTGCCGCTATTAACGATTGGAATATTCATACACGATTGCGATCGCTTTTTTTTTTTGCGCGCGATGACGAACGTTCTAATTAGTAAAGATTTTGCGCGGTCTTGTTTGCCTCGCACACGCATCGGTTGTTTTCCATATGAAACGGCTTTAGGTATGTTTGTCTTGATGGCGAAGTAGAAATACGTTGGCGGAGAATTAGCCGATAATGACACGATAATCACTCATATTGCATCGCGCATTAATCAGCTAATTGTGCATTCGTTTGCAAGCTCGTAATAGTCTATTAAGTAAACGCGATTCAATCTTGACCGAGTGTGAAACGGTCAACTGCATAATGACACATACACTACTGAGATTGCTTCTTAAATGTGTGCTTTTTTTTTTACACGCGCACATATGTCGGAGCTGTGTGTATTCACGCTTCATTTGGGGAATCTTATTTATCTGCTCTTTAGTTTCTCAAATTACGGATTCAAGTACCACTTGGAGTCACCGATCAGTACCTCCCAGCGCCGCGAGGACGATAGAATAACGTATATCAATAAGGGCCAATTCTACGGAATCACGTTGGAATATGTGTCCGATCCGGACAAACCGCTCCTCAAGGCAGGACAGACAGTCAAGGTAAGAGCAAAAAGGCATATAATTGCACTGTTTGAATAATGACATTTGTATGATGATATGTGTAAGTAGATAGTTTCAAAGATAGAGAATACACTGTTAAATTCACAAATTATACTCAATTTGAATTTTTATTTATTTTTAATCACTTTTACACTGAGATAAAAATGTATTAGGTTTTAATAAATATACATATATTATATTTGAATATTATCGATTAAATATTTACTTATTTTATTAAATAAATTAATTTACTTAATAAAAAAGTGATTGTTAAATTAAATTAATAGTTTTCGTATCAAATAAATGTATCTTTATATTCAATAAATATTTAGTCGATACTACTTAAACAAATGGTTTATTAAAATTTAGCACATTTTTTCAATATATAGATCGTCACTGCCGCTATTCAATATGTCATTAATTTAATTAAAATAGTGGAGTTAATTTACTTAAGAAAAAAACAGTCTAACTTGAAAAAATGTGTTGTATTAAACTTGATTCAAATTTAGTTTATTTACTAAGTTCATATATTAATATGAATGTTGTTTATTTTAAAACTATCCACAGAAATAAATTGATTTGCATTTTGACACACATGAAGGTTAATAATATTATAAAATGTTACTTTTTAACTCAAGGAATTGGGATATCATTGCTCCTTTTATATTTAACAGTGTAACTACGGTACACTTATCAATGTCAAACTGTAACAATAAAGCATTTGCGTGGTATCGTTTCGTTCGCGTGACTGGAGCGGTAAACGATTCGCGGAGACGATCGGCGTGCGCGCGGCGCGGCGCGGCGTGTCGAAAGAAGAAGTCAGACGGGATCGTTTGTTCTCGCGACTCTAATTGGCAGCCACGGTGCGCACGCACCGTTAGCAATTTCCATTCTGATAAAGGTGGCGGATTCTTTTTCCGTCGTATGCGCCGGCGACGAGTTACGGCTTCCTCGTTAATTGCTAATCGAGCGTCGAGAGCGAGGCGTGTGGCGATTCGAACGGTATATTCGCGTCTCTCGCGGCGCAAGCCTCAAGGGAGATCGGTTAAGTAAGTGTAACCGCGTAACGCGAACCTCTTATTCACAGGCCTCTCTTTCCTTTCCGATCGTGCGCGCCCATATTTCCTCCGGTACGTCAGAGAACGCAGTTCTTCGCCCATTCACCCGAATCACGAAAAATTCTTCCTCCAGCTCTGTCTCGACGCTCTCTCGCCGCACCGCCGCGCTGCTCGCGGCGAAAAACGCTCACGCCCGCGTGTGCCCGCTCGAGCGTGCGTCTGTCGCAGTCGATGTACGTCCCCGCATATATCGCGTCGATCCGAGTGAAACCCGAAAGCTAACTTTGTAGAACACACAAGATATTTATTTATATTACTTCACATATATCAGATTGATTATAAAGTACAAGAAATCTCGATAATTATAAAATATAGGGATCTTGAAACACGTCGTAAAAAATATTTTACATGCGCATGTAAAATTTCTCTTGCGATGTGTTTTCCTTGTCTTATCTTGCCGCTAGGAATAATGTACGGATAAACGTAACTCTCGATTTATGCTCGATCTGTCATGTGATTAATAATTATTTACATATGCTGCGTAGAGCGTAGTAATGTTGATGTTCCGAGAGGAGAAGAGTCCAGAGGACGAAATCAAATCCTGGCAGTTTTGGCACGGAAGGCAACACTCTGTCAAACAACGGATTCTTGACGCTGGTACTTGAAAAATACTTTAAATAAAATGTAATATAAATGTAAATATCTGTAAATAAATAAATAAGTAGAGGTAATATAAAATTTTGAAAAATAGTGATAATTTTTTTTCATAAATTTTATTTTTTTAATAAATTCTTGATCGATTAAATCTCTAATTATAAATCTTTTGTACTTTGCGCAAGCTACATAATCTATAACGGACAACCGGTAAGATTTTATCGCAGACATATGCCCCGTTATTTTAATATTCTATCTAAAAGTCCCAAGAATAGTACTAGCTATTTCATATTCCCCTGCATGATCCGCGAGTTTCAGAGTCACGTCCGTTGTTACAGACACAAAGAATAGCGTTGGCTTGGTGGGCTGCATAGAGGAAGTCGCGCACAATGCGATTGCCGTTTACTGGAACCCACTCGAATCGTCGGCAAAGGTAAGGAACGCCGGAAATGTCGATTCACGTTACCTTCTTAACGACATGTACATACCTCTTTCCCGTATATATATATATATATCGTTTATCGCCGTGCAATCTTGCGCTACGCGCAAATATCGTGTCGCTCGCGCATTCGATTGCACGGCTATTTAGCGGAAATGTTAATAAAGCAATTCCCGTGTCGCCGCCGCCGCGCCGCCGCTGCTACCTGTCCGATTTCTGATCCACAGATAAACGTGGCGGTGCAATGTCTCAGTACCGATTTCTCGAGTCAGAAAGGCGTGAAGGGTTTGCCGCTGCATATCCAGGTCGACACATACGAGGAACCACCGCCCCACACGCACACGTATACGCCGCCTTCCCATCGCGGCTACTGTCAAATTAAGGTCTTCTGCGATAAGGTAACTGCTCTTCTGCATTTCCATACGTTTATCTCCCTCTCTTTCTCTCTTCATTTGCGATGTAAATAACGCGCGATCGCTTCCTGGTCGCAATGTGATCGCTGAAATTAAGTTGAGAGATGATGTTGCTTATCGTAGGGAGCTGAGAGAAAGACCCGGGACGAAGAGAGACGCGCGGCTAAGAGGAAGATGACAGCGACTGGCAGAAAAAAGCTCGACGAGCTTTATCACCCCGTTACGGAGCGCAGCGAGTTTTACTCCATGGTCGATTTGCACAAACCACCTGTGCTGTTCTCCCCACCGGCCGAACACGCCATTGATAAGGTAATCGCATCGTTTTCTTATATGTTACTCATACATGTAATAGTATATCATCAATAAGAACTTGCTATGTTCTTACAGAAACATTGATTGCGAACATGTTTAATTGCAATATTAATTCTTTATCGGCAATGTGAAATTTTCACTCTTCGCATTTACAACTTGGATCTTCGAACTTCAGTACAAATTTTTATATCGTGTCAGGTTGTACAAAAATACGACAAATTCTTATGTATTTATGAAAGCTTTAGCAACAAATTTTATCATAGTAGAAGTCGAATTGTATTTTACTTATATTTTACAAATTTAAATTTGTCAACTAGAATCACAACTAAAAAATCGAATATATCTTTAAAATCCAACATTGCCGACGGAGAGTTAATAATTCTATATAAAAGAGATTGTCTCTCTTACAAAAATATAATAAATTATAAATAAGAATAAACTTTTTTAATACGCTACATTAATAATATGCATAAAACTTAATATAAGACGTTTACGTTATTAATATTGTTTTTTATTAAATATGTGAGTGTGCTGCATTATCGTAGTACAATATCTCAAATATCAGTGTGCTATGTCATCATAGCATGTATCTAAATTAATTAATTGGTGCAAAAATGAACTTAGAAAAATCGTGTGACATTCACAATCCTCTGCTCTCACCCCCGCCGAAACCCTTCACTAACCGCAACTCTTGCATCGCAAAGTAGTGACGTGGACTTTCTCGAGATAGCTTTTCGAATGTCAATTCAATTTAACGAACCAGAGTAGTAACCTTTTAATATATATTTTTATGTTTTATTACAATGAATAATGTGTTATAATAAAAATGTGAGTTGTCATAATTAGTTACTACATTATGACTAACAGCATTGCGTAGCATTATTATTTTTATTATCAAAACAGATGAATTGTCATATTTATTTCTTTTGCCGCCATTGATTTTCAATTTGTTCGCAAGTCAATCTCTCTTTAATATTATACATTAAGAAAAGAAATTAACGTCGTTTCAAAGTTATTCCTCGTTTTCTAATATGAAATTTAAATGGGTCGTTTCGTGAGGAAAAGAAAAAGCCGCAGAGTAAAAAATAAATTTTATTCTTCTCTCTTCCACGACAGTTCTCGACGATGGAGTTGTCGGGCTTCTACGGTGGTGGCGGCGGCGGGGGAGGGGGTGACACCGACACCTCGTCACTCAGTAATGGTGAAGGTGGAGGATTGAAGGCGGGGGGTAGCAGCCCCTATCCACCGCCATGCGCCCGGCCGAGTCTGCCGGCTCTCAAGTTCCACAACCATTTTCCACCCGACAATCTCAGTAACCTGCACGACAAGAAGGACTCGTTGCTGATGCAGGTGCAGGAGCTGCAAGGCTCAATGCTACAGGGGGTGCAGACCGGCCTTGCGGGCACAGTGGTGTCCAGTGTCGGTAATCGGCTGCACCTACAACAGCAGCCGCCACATCTACGCCCAGCGGACGCCGAGGAACGCGTTATGCTCTACGTGCGTCAGGAATCGGAAGATGTCTACACACCACTGCACGTCACACCACCGACAGTCCAGGGGCTACTCAACGCTGTAAGAAATATCCTAAGGCTCTTTTCTTTTATATCGCCTACACACACATTGACATCTCACAACAAACATTTCCACAACAAACATTCGCGTAGAGAGGGATCTCAGAAACCTTTGCACCCATAGAAAAGTTTACTTCGATTTAAAGAAATTTCGATTAAATGAAATTTCTTTGATTTAAACATTTTTTTATAATCAATAAATTATTTTTTATAATCAATAAAATTTATTTTATTTTAAAAAATTATGTTTAAATCAAAGAAATTTTTTCAAATCGAAGCAACCTTTTCTCTGAATGTGCAGACCTGTGACGATTCGCACGATCCGCTTGTGTCTACATTCTCAGAGATACTTTCGAAAGAAATATAGCGGAAGTTATAAAGTTGACATTAAGGCACCCGTTCTGCATCGTGAACTATTAATGTCCGCAGTATAGAGAAAATTATTGGTCTTTACTATGAATCGTACGATACAAGTCAATCTTAGATAGAGCAAGAGGATAAATGTCAGTAATATATAAAACGAATACGCATAATCGAGGAGAAATATGCAAATTTCGCAAATTTTGTATTAACTTTTGTTTTGATTGTCATTCGGTAATAAAGTAGGCAAAATAACAAGTCCGCTCGTAGAAATGGAAATGAGAAATGGAAATTCTCACCATTTCCATACCGCGACCGATAAGCATAAGGTAGCAGTGAAGTGTTTTATGCAAAACACATTGCGCCGTCGAATATACGCGACCGTGAGTGTTAATTCGTGATTACACTCTCGTTCATCGGCGAGGCCTGCTCTGGAAACAGAACGAGAAGCGAGACAATATTAATGCAATGTGCTATCGCTACCATCGATCGAGATACGCTTCTCCGATAAATACTTCCAGGCTTAATAAAGTCGTACGGCTGGAAAATAACTAATGTCTGTTTCGATTTCAATCGATATCAGTTTAGTTTCTCTAATCCAATTCGATTTGATGAACGCGGAAATTATACACGCATATATATATATATATA